CTGTATCCGAAACCTGTCTATCAATACAGTGCTGCACATCAAGGTACCATTTGTTTACCTTCATGATCTAAGGGAGAGCTGTGACTCACCGTGGCTGCTCAGCATGACAGTGTCCTCACCAGCCTGGGAAACCATCAGGATCAGAAGTATGAGTCGACTGCTTTCAGATCATGGAGAGGTCAAAAACTGCCAAGTAACCATAATGAAATGGCAGCCATCCTAAAGTAGTGTCCTTGAGGTGTGTACATTCCAAGACACCTGTTGGATACCTCAAATCACCAATAGTACCGAATCCTATCACATATAATTGCTTTTTCCAAATTATGTGCACACAAGTATCACCCTTTATTATTGGTGAAATTATTAAGGCCACTCCATGTAGTTAAAAGGGAGGTTTATTTTGTGAGGTAACTTACAAGTGAAGGGTAGGTAACAGGGTCTGGGAAAGAACTCTGCTCGGTCTACATCCAGCGTCCAGGGTCCAGGAACCAAGAGAGCCAGCGCATCTGGATCTCAGGTCTTCAGGGTGCTCCCTTGGCCCCGCCTTGTAGGCGTGACAGTTACCTAAGCCTCAATGGGGGTTGGAACTTCCAGATCAAAGCTGGAATGGCTACCCACTACACATTATCTTAACTAAGCACTTGTCATGGACCATGTGCAGTTTGAGGTTAAACAGTCAGAATTAGCATGAACTTCTGTTTCCTTCCTCACAATGTCACAGGTAGATCTGATCTCCCTTAGATCTGACCAACTACAGGATATGATTTTTTTTCTAACCTTACTGGGAACTTTCACTTTTTCACTTACGGAAAGATCTGTGTAAACTGCTCTCTGGCATATGCTAATTGCCATCATGGCTCACTACACTTGCATCTTTGCCTTATGAACACTAGCGCTGGATGCCATCAGTCCATTCAGTGAGTAATGTGGCTGCCAAGTGACTGACAGGCAGGCCTCGTAGCCCTTGTATAGAAAAGGGAGATGAGTCACAGAGTAAGATTGCACTAGATTTTGTCATGCTCCTTAGAACAGCACAGAATTTAAAACATGAGTTGCTTATTTCTTGAATTTTCCATGTAATAGTCTAGGTCCTTGTTTGGCCGTGAGTAACTGAAACCCTAAGAAAGGTAGATAAAGGGAAACAATAGTATAGATCTGCTTTTTACGGAATCAAATAAATTTCAAACTGAAATTCATTAGAAAGAACTTAAAGCAATAAAATATGATTAGGCTATGTGACAATAGACAAACAAAATTAGAATAGCAACTGTCTTTGTTTTATTTCAATTTATGACTTCACATTAAAATTTATATGAGAATTCATACCTTTCAGCTATATATATCCTATCAATTATGGCATATGTGTATATGCAGTAATTTCAGACAAGAGCTAAATTTATCTCAATACCATAAATTAGAATGATCTTATCAAATGTCAACACATTGAAGTTTCAGTAATTTTATTTATAAATAGTGAACCAGTGAGATGGTAGGTGAGTAAAAGCTCTCCTCACCAAGCCTCATGACCCAGGTTCCATTAGAAAGAAAGAGCTGACTCCCACAATTTGTCCTCTGATCCCCATATATATGTGGGGTGGCACACACACACACACACACACACACACACACACACACATTACATTAAAAAAAATAATTGAAGGTAGTGAAATGGAGCTTGAAATTTTTTTTTCTAAAGCAGAAAGCAAGCTGGTCATGCTTCCTAGGGTAACAACTGTCTTCAGAGATCTCCCCTCGGTTTCGTTTTACTTACCTGTAAATGCTGTTTGCTAAATGTCTGCCTACAACAGTCTCCTAAAGCTGAGTAAATTTCCATCATGGGATCTGAGTCATGTGCAAGTCACCCACACGCTACCTCCAGGGTTGCACGGGCTATCGGTGCCTATAAAACACTTCATTCAGAAATCCTATTTCCTTGACATTTGTTAAATCTCTGTCAGACTTGCTATTCTTACTCATCCATTTATCATGTCTCCCTTGTTTGTCGGCTCTGCTGCTGTGACCACTGGCCTAAGCTACCTCCTTTCCTTCATCTGCCACGCAGTTGTTGAGCATTCTCTTCTCAGCCTCTGAATCATAAAACGCAGCCCACAGGGCAGCCTATTTTTAATTACAGGTCATGATTTTGAGAGGTCAAGACTCAACACATTCTCCCGTTAATGAGCTTAATAAAATCTAAAACTCCATCTCTACATACTATTTTTTTGTTCTCTTGCCACGTTCCAGAGATACATATTCATTTGGGGGGGTGGGGTCAGATAAAAATGAATGTTTACCTTCTCCCAGTGGTTTCAGGGTTAATAGGGGCTTGGCTTCTTAGGCAGTAACAACCATGTGAATCCTGTCTCATGAGTCCAGTGCCAAATAGCAAATTTATATTGAAACTTTAATTGAAAAACTAGCCAGGCAATGGTGGCACACACTTTTAATCCCAGCACTAGGGAGGCAGAAGCAAGTAGATCTCTAAATTCGAGGCCAGCTTGGTCTACAGAGGGAGTTCGAGGACAGTGAGGGAAACCCTGTCACGAAAAACCAAAGAAAGAAAGAAAGGAAGAAAGAAAGAAAGGAAGGAAAGAAGGAAGGAAGGAAGGAAGGAAGGAAGGAAGGAAGGAAGGAAGGAAGGAAGGGGAAGGAAGGAAGGAAGAGGAAGGAAGGAAAGAAGAAAGAAAGGAAAAACACTGACTTGGGTTACAAAATAATTTTACATCAAATTATATATTTTTTTCCAAAATTGTCTATTGTCTAAAGTGCATTTTAAAAAATAGCTTGGAAAAAGAAGGGCCAACCTTTTTTTTCTTTTATAGACAGCTTCTCATAGCATATCCCTGCCCTGGCTGGCCTGGAACTCACTATACAACCAGGTTGGCCTTGAATTCACAGATGTCTCTTCCCCCTGCCTCCAGAGTGCCAGGTTAAAAGTATGTGCTACCAAGCCAGACCCAAGAGTACAGACAACTCCTGAGAGAAACAAGGTGTAAGACTTGAGCTCAGCAGAAGAACACCACAGAACCAACACAAGGCTCCGGGTTTGGTCTTGAGCACTGGAGCAGAAGAGAACTAGAGAGAAAAAAAAGGAGGGGGGGAACCCAGGAGAATCGGGACTTCAGGATGAACCTGTCTCTTCCATGCCAAACCAATCTAGGCTACATGTAATACTATCTCAAGAAACGAAGGCTAATTTAGGAATTATTCAGGGCAGAGGTTTCCCAGACTCAGCTATAAGATATAATCAATAGAAAGTTAAAAAAAAAAAAAAAAAAAAAGTTCCCAGCCCCTGGCCACAATAGTTTTTAAAACTTTCAAGGTGATTTTAATATTCAAGGAAGTGACTTAAGTGGCCCGGAGTGGTGGCCCATGTCTTTAATCCGAGAAGCAGAGAGAGGCGGACTCTGAGAGTGTGAGGTCAGCCCACTGCAGGACAGTGAAAGAGTAGGTTCAGACCTCAGCTACAACATGATGTTTAATCCAACCAGGAGAACTGGCTGAAGACAAAAATTCATTCTTTAGAGGAATGTCATCGAACTGACTCATTACTCATGTCCCATCCACAATGTCTGGTGGACAGTTAAAGAAAAAGTTACTGGCCCCCAAAGTTGACCCCTTACTGAAGTAAAAGGCTGCCAACAGAAACTCTCATGACACATCACAATTGGCAGACAAGTGCTCTAAGGCTGTTAATCATAAATAGCCTGTGAGGGACGCGGAGGACGATGGCTCAGTGGATAAAGCTTCGCCATGCAAATGTGAGAACTGAAGTTCAGAACCCCAGCATCCACCGTAAAAGCTAGGTGGGCATAGCAGCCCACTTGTAATCCAAGCATTCGGGCTTGGTGATCCTCAGGGCAGTGCGTGTGAGGTTCCGGGTTTAGGAAAAAAACCCTGCTCAGTAAATAAAATGGAAAGTGATTGAGGACACTTAATGTCATTCTCCGGCCTACATACACATCACAAATAGGAGAGAGAGAGAGCTTACACAGGACTAATACATAATTAATAAGCCAGTGATCACAATAGAATGGACATGACTTTTCAAAAACAAGAATAAAGCTGGATGTGGTGGTGGACTCCTTTTTAACCAGCGTGCAGGAAACAAAAGCAGGATAATCGCTTCAAGTTCGGGGCCAGCCTGGTCTACAAGGTGAGAGCTTGTAAAACAAAGCATCAGATGGGAGTCTGGGGCAGCTCAATGGTAAAGGACCGGCAGAGCATGGGTGAGGCCCTGGGCTCTATTTCTAGCAAATGGGAATCTATATATAAAAAGTATAACAAAATGACTCCAGATAGACCCAACAGCAGACTGAAGACAAAGAGTAAGCTGATAGTTAGATGAACTGCTGAATTTGAAATAGAGTGAATATATAAACCTTATAAACATGTAAGGCAACCTCAGGTGATCTAATATAAGTTTATTGGCATTTTAGGAGAGAAGAAAATAGAAAATGTATTTTTTTTTTTTTTTTTTTTTTTTGAGACAGGGTTTCTCTGTGTAGCTTTGCATCTTTCCTGGATCTCGCTCTGTAGACCAGGCTGGCCTCGAATTCACAGAGATCCGCCTGCCTCTTGCCTCCCAAGTGCTGGGATTAAAGGCGTGCGCCACCACCGCCCGGCTGTATTTTAAAAATGAATGGCCAGCCAAGGCTACAGGAGAAACCCTGTCTTGAACAAAACAAAAAACAAATGGCCGAAACTTCCCTGATTTTACTTATACATCCAAGATGTCCAGTGAACTCCAAGGCAAAGCAAGCAAACAAAAATGAATGAAAACAAAAGAAAATCCCACCTAGTCATATCAAGGTTCCACTGGAGAAACAACCCAGCCAAGGAAATGCACTCCATTAATGGAAAAGACAAAAGGAAGCAAGTGTCTCCTCCAAAACAATGGGGATGGAGGTTGTACCTTATGCACGCCAAAGGAAAACAAAGACCAACCTAAAATTCTCCATCAGTGAAAGTACCCTTCCAAGACAGAAGTGAAATGACGTTCAGTTGACTGAGAAATAAAATATTCTCTCCGGGGGAGGCTGAGAATTGACCCATTTCGCACTCCACTCCTGTAGAAGAGCATCCTCCAGTTGAGAAGGAATGACACTAGACGTCACTTCAATCTACAGGAAAGAATGGAAGACACTGGGAATGCTAAACCAGTATTATTATGCTTTGTCTCCCACAAAGCTCATGTTTTGTTTCCTCATTTTGAGAGTGGGTCTCACAATGCAGCCTTGGCTGCCTTGGAACTCATAATGATCCCCCTGCCTCTGCCTCTCTAGTGCCAGGACTAAAGGCATATTCTACCAAGCCAGACCAAGCTCAAGGTTTTGGTTTGTTTTAAAGCAAAACTTCTATCTGGATCCTCAAGCTCACTGTATACAGATGCCTGTTTACAGACACAGGAAAGCAGAGCGGGAGATTAGGTGAACAGAACTTACCGGAGACTTCAATAAACTAAAGATGCACGTTGTAATCCCCACAACAACCACTCGAAATTGGCAGTACAGCTGGGTGCAGGGGTGCACGCCTTTGATTCCAGAACTTGGGAGGCAGAGGCAGGTGGGATATTTATGTGTTCAAGGCCAGCCTGGTCTACTTAGTGTGACTGTCTCCAAAAAACACAGCAAATAAACTAACAGTATAGTTCATGACTGACAACTTACAAAAAAACTAAAGACAAAATACTAGATAATACTAATTAAACTGAAATAATGCAAAAATGAAGTCATACAAAGGAGGGAAAAAACAAACACACAGAGAGACTACAAATCTATCAACAGATGGCTGGGCATGGTGCTGGAAAGAGATTAGGTGTAAAGTGACCAAACACATTGATTCAAAGGCAGACTAAATTAAAGACCCAATGAAATGGTAAAAGTACACAAATGAAAACCTGTACCACGTAAACAGTAGACGCAGAAGAATCATTTCTATTTGTTTTGTTTCTCTATTTGGTTTTTAAAATAGTTTGAGACAGGGGTGGGGTGGGGGGTGGGGAGTGGGGCAGCGGTCTTAAGCTGCCCAGGCTGGCCAAGTTCCCCACGTACCCACGTAACAGAGTATAACTTTGAATATAGGCTGGGTTGACTCTCATGTGCCATCTTGCTCAGTCTATGTCATGGGAGACAGAACCCAGGGTCGTCTGCACGTTAGACAAGCACCCCTACAGACTAAATTACTCCTCAGCCCCATAAATAATTTTGTTGTAAATCTGGGTCTCAAAAAGTAGCCCAGGTAACTGGGCAGTGGTGGCGCACGCCTTTAATCCCAGCACTTGGGAGGCAGAGGTAGGCGGATCTCTGTGTGTTTCAGGCCAGCCTGGTCTGAGTTCCAGGACAACCAAGACTGTCACGCAGAGAAACCCAAAAACAAAAACAACAAAAAGTAGCCCAGGATGGCTTCAACCTTAGGATTCTCCTGCTTCTTCAGTGCTGGGATCACAGGTGTGCCACCATGCCCAGCTGATGACAGCTTTTGAATGACATGTTTCAACATAATGGCTTGTGTTTACTCTGTATCAGCTACTGATAACTAGGATCTCAAATAAGGAAAACTGCATAAAACATGGGGTCTCACTGACACTTAACCTTGTTCCTTTTTTTTTTTTTCTTTTGCCAGGACCTCATGCATCCCTTTAGGCCTGAGTTACCTCCCTCCCAGCTTTATATTTTTGGGGTTCTTTTCACTGTCTTTTAATGTAACACCTTAACATGGGTAGGCGGTCAGATTTAAAGCAGAGTTAGTGACCTTTGACCCAGCTTTGACGTAAGCACAATTCCTTAACCACCTTCATTTCATTTGTACTATGGTCAGGCAGCCATCTGACAGACTTTCCCTTCATCTTGTTACCCTCCTGGGTGTTCACCGTGGGGTTTTTCTGTTTCACTTACAAGGGAACTGTTGGAGTGTATCTTTTTCTACAGCGGCCGCTTTCTCATGTAGGTCAACTTCACTGTGTGAGAATTTGCTACTGGCTAAAATGGGCACACAGAAGCTGTGATACACCCTCAAACTTTGTCGGTGTCGTGGGATACAGAGGACAGGGCTTTAACAACAAAGGGACTCCACACTAAGCATGACTCTGTAAGAATGCTTCTGTGGCATGCGACAAGAGAAAAGAACACGACTTTGTAAGTAATTTCCTATCCCAACAAACGCCACTTGGACGTGGCACCAATTTTTTCAAACTTATGACCTTGGAAAGTTTAATAAACTCAGAATGTCATCATAGATGGTACTTCCCTGGTCATGCTATCATTCTGGAACATGCTTTCAAAAGTGTATCAAAGGTGATTTCTCTACAAATGAGTGCGGCACTCAAATGCAAAAGTTTATATCACCTGCACCACCAGAACAAATCTCAGAAAGACGTATGAAAATTGCTTGTACTGTTTACTTGTGAAAATTTAACCTACGAACAGTGGCTTGAAGCCTTTCGTTTAACATTGGCCTGTCTGAAAGCCGCGGCAGCCCATTACTGAGGGGACGATGAGACCTCACTGCAATTCGCCATTCATCTCCAAGCAGAGACTGAAGGGCCAGCTCCCCCTCCACTCAAGAGTAAATATCACACATCCTGTTTATTCATACTGGTTTGTTGTCCACAGCTCTTCAAAGCAGTGACACACTCCTAAGTCACACTCTTCTCTGCCCCCAACTTCCTGCTCATGGGTGTACTATGTTCCTAAGTACTTCCTTCAAGAAAATACTCTTCATTGCAATAACTTTTAAAGAAAATACTTTATTACATCATGAAAAAAAGATATCCAACAACTAGATTCATACTTGCTTGAATCTTAAAAAAAAACTGAATGTTTATTCATTAGACTGTATGTCGGCATCCTGTTCCACATGGAAATAGAAAGACACTACGGCTTCTAAGTATTGCACAGTCTGAAAAAAAAAAAACATCAAAAAAAAAAAGGAGTGGGGAGAAGATCACATGATATTGGGAACCATCTCACATTATGAAAAACCTACCAAGAAACATTTTTAAAAAGAAAACCCTTTGTTTCTACAGTAGCTTTAGTTTGTAGTTCTTGGAATGACTGTATTCCATTGAAGACATCTCAGTAACAGGAAGCTTCGTATGAGCAATCCCATGTGCAAATATTAATAGAAAAATATATAAAATAATGCATCTCTTGCCATCACCCTGACCATCAGGACCCTATTTTGTCTGAAAAAGGGTTAAGCTGTGAGTTTGGCCTGGAGCTCCATCTCTGC